GTGCAGGTAGACACCTATTCCCAGCTGGGGTGCAGAGAAGGGGCTTTTGTGCTCTTTTATATGGTTGGGGACAGAAGTTCTCTGTAACCACATACAAGGCTTCAGGAAAATTTAGCCCAAAGCGGACTCTCTGTCTGTGTCTCCTGGGTCAGGCGTGGCTTCCCTGAGAGCTCCAGAGGATGGGCACAGCCCCCTCCAGGGGGCTTTCCAGCACCTATGGGCCCCGGGCCACCACAAGGAGCCTGCCAGCAGAGCCTTTTGCCCCTGGCTCGGAAGAGAGTCTTCCTGAAGCTGCTGTGGTTGTTCTGCACAGACTCAGAAAGGGGATCCCCAGGACACCCCAGAAAGCACAGAGAGAACTTGCTGCTTGTGTTATTTCAGACACAGAAGAGGAAAAACAGGAGCAGGAGAGAGGAAGAAGAGGGGCAGAAAGGGGCGAGAGAGAGTGAGGGAAAGGAAGAGAAACGCACTGACGACTTTTGCTCCTGTGACACCTCTCAGGCGCTGTTCAGAAAGGGGCGTTTCACGTTCTTTTAACGTGCCGGGAGAGCTGGCCCGTCGCCAAGAGTGTTGCCTAAGAAACCCCACCAGCTCTGGCGCCCAACCTGAAGGGAGCATTCCACTTAAACTCTTCCCAGTTGCCAAATCAGGCCATTCCCATTTGAACTGGCTGCGTGGGTTGTTCCCACGAAGAGTGTGAATCATGTGTGAGCACACTGTCCAGACATTTCCAGCCACCAAATCGCCGAAGGATTCCTTTCCTAAAAAAGACATTTGATGCGGGTGTCGAAACAAGGAACGCAGCGCGGGGCTTGCTGGCCCAGGTTCCAACCCTCGCGGATTGGAATTTCAATCTCTTTCTCTTTCCTTTTCATTCAGACAACATATTTGACTTAAAAACACCTTTCATGATTGCAACTTTAACTTAAAACCAAAGTAGGCGGATCAGGATGTGTTTTCCCAGACCACGGTGCAGCCAGCCTAGGGTTTGGTACATTGCCCCATCAGCTGCATAGATGGAAGTTATGAGAATTAGTAGCAACAGCACCTAACAGTTGGCTTCTAGGCTACCGGGAGATCACACCAACACCGTTTTATTGGGTTTGAAAGGCAGGGGTGCGGTAGGAGGGTGTTCTTTGGACATCATTCCCGTTCACAGATGTCGAAGACCGGACACAAGAATGATCATTCACACAAGTGCTCAGAGGAGCAGCTAGAGGAGGTAAACAGTACTCCTGGGACCGAGGACCCACGCTCACTGCCTGTGGTCCGCCGTTGGTTCCGATGGATGCCACCCTGCCTCTTCAATGTGCAGTGGTGGGGACCAGACAGAAGAGGCTGCATTTCCTCACGGACCCTGAGGCCTGAGCCAGTGCCCTTCCTCAGAGTGCTTGGGCTCCTCATCCACTGAATTCGCTATTAGTTATCAACACCCTGTGTTTCTAATTCTGATACTCCCTCAGCCGATGCCTTTCCGGGTGAAGAGAAAGATTCCTCCCGTGGCCTAAGGCCCCCTTGGGTGGCTTCCACAAGCGTGGCTCTTGTGGGTCGGCCCTATTTGTGGCCTGATAATACATCAGCCGCCAAGGAATTCTAAGCACTTCAGCTACACTATTTTCCGGTGTGAGGCAGGCAACTCACTCAGCTTCTCCATCTGCCTGTCCCCTCACCTGTCCCCTGGGACCATTCATGGGGCTCCGTTGTGGTGGTGTGGCAGGAATCCAACAAGTTAAGAGCACTTATTACATTATTGGTTGTTGTCGATTAACCCATTGTATAATCGGGGGAAAGAAATGCAGAGGAGAAGGCATTTGTACATGTGGTAGCTAATGAAGCTAGAATCAGAATCTGAAACAGAGGTGCATAAGGAAGGGTGGAGGAGGGCTGGGGAGACAGCTCCGTGGCCTAAGTGCTGGCCTGGCAGGTGCAAGGATCCGGGTTCGAGCCCCAATAGCATATGCCAGCCCCAGAACCCTAGGTACACGGTGCAGACATCGAGACTGGGTGTGGCGGTGGCACACCTCTAATCCCAGTGCTGGGGAGGCTGAGACAGGAGGATCACTATTAGTCGGAGCTACAGAGTGAGACCCTGTGCCAAATAAATAAATAAAAGATATTTTAAAAAGTGAAAAAAAAAGTGGATGAATTTGATCAATGCACATGGTATGCACATATGTAAATATCACAGGGAATTCCACTAATACAGTAATATTATATATGGTAGTAAGTGTTAATTAAAAAAAAAAAACATGGAAAAGAAAAGACATGGAGTTATGTTTAAAGCCAGATCTTTAAGCCAAAAAACTCACTTATTAGTTATGACAGTGGATTGAATTCGCTGCGGATACTGCATCTGGGAGTCGAGTTAAAACCTGGACCCCGCTTGCGGGCTGCTATCGTGAGAGCTCTGGGGTTTCGACCAGGAGTTTGAACTTGGCTAGCTCTGCTTGGTTGTGGCTGGCATGGCCCGAGGGCTGGCGAGTGGGGAGCCCTGCGAGGGGTTCCGCTCTCTGAGCCGGGGAAGGCGAAGCAGCGACGCTGGGACCGACCCGGAGCAGCGAGGAGCGAGCGGCCACGCGTCACATGTGCCGGAGGCAGGCAGCTGAGGGCCGAGGAGGCGTGGCAGCCCCTAGGCCTGGGAGGTCCTGCAGGTGGTTTTACAGTTTCTTATACAAGGAAGACCATTTGGGGGAAGAGGCCTGCGGAGGTCACAGCAACCAATTCTTATCATAGAAGAAAGGATACTGGGCACTGGCTGGGCAAAGATGTCTTGTTGCTGGGATAAATGGCAAGTGGCATCCGGCATCAACCCGAGGTCAGCCTGGGTCCACTGAGGCCCCTAAACTCCAAACCTGGGAATCAGAAGCTCAGAATCGGCCAAGGTGTTCTGGCCTCTTGCTAACTGGTTTCCAGGTTAGTGTCAGTGGTATAGGTGGGGGCTCTGCTGGCCCTGAACTGAATCGCACAGAGAGGAAAATGTACGCATGGGTATGACATGTGTCTGGGTTTTAATTTAGAGAGTAAAAGCAGATGGGAGGGTAACATCCATTGATCCCAGCTCCCCAGGGAAGGCTGAGACAGGAGGATTGAAAGTCCAAGCTCAGACTGGACAAGATTCTATCTTAAAATAAATGTAAAAAATAAGAAAGGGCTGGGGTTGTCGCTCAGTGAAAAGTCTGGATTTAATCCCTAGTACTGGGGAAAGAAACCCAGGGAATTTTTTCTGCGCAGTTCCTTGGCTGTTCTAAGACCCCGAGTCCATGATGGTGCTGTTTAGCCTCTCCCGCTCCATGTTGTGCACAGCCCACGTTAGCGAGTTCTTTTTATTTCAAGCCGTGTGCCTTCCACCCTGGGGGCTGGGGCAGAGCACAATTCCGGGCTGGCCACAGGTGCTCTGTCCATTTAGATGAGAGAAAGCGTGGGCAGCAGAGAGATCTCTCTGTGGGTTCTGCACTCCACTAGTGGGGTGTCAGTCACTACTGGTCCAAAGGAAAAAAAACCACCTGCATTGCTGAGCTGTGAGTTAGACAGCGTGAGTGTCCTTGATGTGGGCCGCGGGCCTCAACCTAATTTAAAGCTGCTTTATTGAGTAGAACTTCGGGTGCGCTCGCAGGAGAGCGCGTCCCCCCGATGTAAACACTCGTTAAACTCCCAGAGCATGACTAGACAACTGAACGTACAGAGGAAGCGCTTTAGAACAAGAGACTAGTGACAGGATTAGGCTTGGGCTGTAGCCAAAAGCAAAGGCGACGTAGAGCTCACAGGCCGTGCAGCCGCAGCAGTTTGCTGGCCTCTCAGGGCCACCCTGAGAAGTAGGCACAACATGCTTTCACAGAGAAGGAAATCAATTTGGCGAAGGTTAAAGTTTCGTGCAGGGTCACAGGTCGGTCGTGAGAGGTTCAGGCTTCAGGTCTTCGGACTCCACATTCTGTATTATTATTATTATTATTATTATTATTATTATTTTGGATTATTTACTAAAGCATCCAGAAACTGCTGATAGCTTGTGTAGGGAATGATGTTTGTGGTCTGTGGTGCCCCCCGAGGAGCTGCGGCCCCGGCTGCCACACACAGGCCCATCTCATGCTGTTGTGTGTGGGTGCCGCTGGCGTTCAGCACTGCTTTCCGCAGAATTTGAGGCTATGAAGCCTGTTTCCCTCTGACAGATAGACTGAAGCAGGAAACTAAGGTGGTTTGTCCTTGTCTACCAATGGGAGTTTTGTCTTGCGGATCCAAGTTATGGTGTCCCTTGTTGAAAAACGGATCAAATGTCCATCCCCTAAAGAAAAGAAAGAGGAAGGACAAACACTTAACAAAAGCACCTAGTTTCTTCAAAGACATTTTGAGGAAATGGCTAGATTCATTCCCCAGCCCCATTCCTGATTCTCACAGAGAAGATCTGCAAAGTCTTAGAGGACAGTGGGTGCTTTCGGGGCTGCCTTGGGGAGGGGAAAGAATGTCGGCACAGAGAAACAAGGACGGGGACAGCAGCACGGAGCGGGACTCAGCTTTGTGGTTGTCTGTCCGAGAAAGCTAGACCCTGAGGCTCCTTCCCCACTCGTCCTGCTCCCGGGCAGGCTTCTCTCTGTATCCAAAGAAGGAGGTCGGCAGGGAGCGTGTCGCTGTTCACCTTTATGTGTCAACAGCTCCAAACAATCCTGGAACTTGTCTGACTGGCTGTAAGGAGGCACCTAGGTAAACAAGGGCTGAGTACACAAAACACAGACCTGCCTGTCTGTCACCTGGGAGCCAAGCAATGTGGGCCAACTCACCGATCGGTGCCCGCCCCCAGGCAGAGGCAGGATGTCCTTCTGGAGAAGTGCAATTCATTGGCATGCTGACGGCAGTGACTTAGCGGGGGAGTGAATAAGAGATACCTATGGGCGGGAACCGTGTAGCAGTAGGAGACTAGGTACCTGACGGGCCTGGGGGTTAACCCTTTCTGGCAGGAGCATGCACTGGCCTCTCATGCATGAGGGTCACGTCCATCACCTTGGCTGTTAGACTCTGGCGGGGCGGGTGATGTAGCACGGCTGCACGTGCTCGTAAGACGAGATGACCTTCCCGTCCTTGAGCTCCTTGGTGATGGTGCATATTTTAACCAGGATCCGGGACGGGAGGCCACAGGTCTTGCGCATCACAGCAGGGGTCCGGGCTGTGCACACGGGGACAGGGCATTCCCAGACTCTGGCCTGGCGGGTGGCACAAATGGAGGGCTGCGGGTTGGTGGTGCATGGGTTGCACAGCAGCCTAAGGAGAAGACAGAATTTTACTTGTGGTGGTGGGGTAGCGATGGCCAGGAAGAAAGTGGGGGCGGCTAAGTTTTCAGCATTTGTCCTTCGGAGTGTGTATTTTCCCGTGTTCTTTCATTCTGAATGGAAGCTAGTAGAAGAACACAATCAGGCCGACTCATGGGAGAACAGTAGTCTGAGGTGAGCGCTGTTACATATGTACGTTCTCAAGCTAACGCCAGAGCGCTACGCAGAGAAACCTGGACCAGTGGTCAGAGCCCGGCTGGTCCTGAGCTTTGACTTTCATCCGCAGGGTGGACGCCGCAGGACCCGCACTCAGGATCGGCAGTGAGAAGGGCCCCCCCTTAAGGTCTGAGTGAGGGACATCAGTCAGATCCTTATCCTGTGGGGAGTTCTCTGATTACCCTGGGGAGACAATTGTTCTTTGTGACCGCCAAGGTAAGCCTGCACTTGCTGAATTGGTGTAGACGAGGTGAGCGCATCCTGGGTCGGTCAGCTGATTTTCGTTTTTAAAATAATACAACTGTCATTTTAAAAAGATGTGAAACACGCATGTGTACGCACAGCTGTTGGCCTCGAGGACTGATGGCCGCAAAGGGCTGGGGGCGCTGCCTGAACATGGCATTCCTCCAGAGGGACCCGGCTCATCTTCTTCTTCTAGGAAAGCAAGGCATTCCTGTGTGTGTGTGTGTGTGTGTGTGTGTGTGTGTGTCTGTCTGTCTGTCTGTCTGTCTGTCTGTCTGTACAGGGACTAGTCACATCCATCTTTGGGGAAATGCTTTTTCCTCTAGTAATGTGCTGAACCCTAAGAAACTAAGCAGTTACAAAGAGTTAACATGTGTGCTGTTCGATGCAGCTGCCGGGCTCAGCCTACATCTCTGCACTGTTGGTTTACATACTTGCCATCCCAGCTCTCCAGCAGGCTGCGGTAGGTGGCGATCTCGCACTCCAGCCGGGACCTGGTGTCCAGCAGAACCTCGTATTCTTGGTTCTGTCCTTCCAGGGTGCTTCGGATCTCTGCCAGCTGAGCCTCCAGGTTATGGATCAGATCCTGGATCTGGGACAGCAGGGCCGTGTAGCGGGCCTCCGTCTCCTCTAGGATACGTTCTTGGGAGTCTCTCTGCCACAGAAGGAGAAGGTCAGGTTAATAACGATGCCTCCTGGGGAGAGAACTCAGTGGCCCAAGCGCCTGCCTGGCAAGCGCAAGGTCCTGAGCTCAATCCCTAGTATTAAAAACAAACAAAATGATGCTACTTCCTTTAAGAGAGGTCATTGTTTAAGTCATTTTGAGCCATGATTTCTTTGTGACAGTGTGAATGGCTCTCCAAGCCCTTTTATTACGCCCTACCCAAAGAAATCCAAGAACAAAATCACCCATTATATGAAAGCTTGTTTTCCTTTATCACCTCTCTGTTTTCCTTCTGTTCTTTTTGGCCACCTAATAATGTCTCGCCTCATCCTCCCACTTCTGAGAAAAAAGGAAGTTTTGAACTCATATACACCCAAGCGTTAAAATACGTCACCATGATACCTCATTCTATGAGTATTATTCATGTCCTAAATCAAAAGTGAGTGAGGTTTAGCTGCAAACATTTCCTTCACTGGGTCAATTCTTTTATGTGTAAGACATTAGAGTCCAAACTTCAATAAGTAGCATTCTTTCCTAATCTATCACTCTGTGAATCTACTGCTGATCATGAGATTTTAGGTTGCAATAATCTGGGATTTGCATGATTATCCCCGTTCTTATAGGTGTGAGAGCTGAGGTTCGGAAGGTTACGTGAGCTGCCCAAAGTTGCAGGAGCATCTGGCGACAGCACAGCGCGGGGGCAGGTTTTGCCTAATGGGCTTCCCCTCAGGGTTTCAAAGTAATTCCCTGCTGTAGAAAGGCAGTGTGATGAGGCCCAAGAGCTGCTGGTGTTGGAGTCTGGATTCTGCCTCCAACTCTGAGGTGTTGGGTGGGTTGCTGCATGGTGGAGTGGCTCAGTGTCTTCCTTCCCGTGTGGCAGAGGCGGGATGCCACTTCTGTTGGATTTGTCCTAGGAAAACCACCTTAGCTCTTAGAACTCGGTCAGTAGACTTGGTGGCTAATTATGCAGCTTTCCTCATAGGCTTGTTTTATGATTCCACTATGATAGCTTATAAAAATGCATATATAATCATGTGCTCTCCTTGTGTTTCCCAAAGTGTAATCCCCGCATCATGATTACTATGAGATGCTCTTAAAAAAAAAAAAAAAGAGGGCCCACAGTCAAGTAAGTTTTGGAATGCTGAATAAATACCATCCGGTCCCTTTTGGCAGGTTCATTCAGCTTACTAAGGGGGTCAAGCAAGCCACCCTGTTTAACCTTTGTTTAACTCAGCACTCCTCGGACTTATTTGACTCTGAAGTCTTTTCTCAGCGGTAGACTCTTTAACAGACAGAAGATCTGCGGTTCTAAGGCACACAGTTTGGGAAACATCGCAAGACACACGTGTCAGGGGCTGTTGCCACCACCGCTGTCTTGGGCTCGGTCAGCTTGCTGGGTACCATTCGCTGCTGGGCCTGCCGTTCGACCTCCAGGGCGTTCGCGGTGCGTCTCAGCTCTATGAGCTCTGCCTGGCAGCACTGCTGCTGGTGAGAGCTGGTTACCACCTGCTGGTTCAGCTCCTGCATCTGAAAGGCAAGGGCCACAGGAGTCACGGCAGGAAGGCACAGCTGGCGGAAGGGCCCCCGGGGGGCTCAGCTGAGCGCTGCCCGCGTTTCCGTGCTCCCCACCTGTGTGTTGAACCACTGCTCCATGTCCTTCCGGTTTGTCTCCATGATGGACTCATACTGACATCTCATGCTTTGTAGAATCTGGTTCAAGTCCACAGAAGGGGCAGCAGTCACTTCAATGCTGAGTCTGTCCCCAAGCTGGCTCTGGAGCGAACTGACTTCCTGTGGAAAGGAAAAGAGCATGAAGTTACTGGGTGAACGGGCGACGCTGGCACTGTCATTTCAGCCTAAGAGCAACAACTTGGCCAAACCGTGTCTCACAATAAAGGGATACTGGCTTGTAGGTGTTGCTGAGGTGCCACAGATGGCCAAAGGCTGTCCCCGCTATGGTTTTGGATTCCATAGGTGGCAAAATAAAGAACTAACTAATGAGATCAGAGTTCCAAAAAATTTAGGTCATTTTTAGGGGCAGGTACTGGAGGACCCGGTGTAGAGGAGGAAGGAGGAATTTATCGTGGGAGACCACAGTCTCTGTGATGCCGACGTGGGCTTGCATCAGTAGGAGCTGCGGAAGGGTATGCTCAGGGATGTCTAAAAATGATGGGAAATTTGCAAGGACAGAATAAAACAGGATACTGGAGACTTTTGGGTTCACGGGGCTTTGAAGTGCCTTGAACCTGTGGTTCAGGCAGTGACAGGGACATCAGGAGGGTCACAAGCCTGAGAAGTGTCCACAGCACGTGCCCTCAGTCTAGTACATTCCCAAGGAAACGGTGCGGCTTTTAGAGGCTTAGCTGTGCTGACACTCTCGGTATTTCTCTGACCTCCTCGTGGTTGGTTTTCAGGCAGAGCAGCTCCCCCTTCAGGGACTGGACTCGAGCCTGCAGGTCAGCCTCGCCCAAAGTCAGTGCATCCAGGACCTGCCGCAGGGCGCTGGTGTCTGCCTCCACGAGCTGCCGCAGGGACACATCTGCTTCGAACCTGGAAAGGCCAGGAGACACGAAAGACATCCTGTATAGAGGAGCATCCAGCCCAGCAGAACTTCATCTACTGTCAGTTAGTGTATTTCTACGGCAGGTTTTGTTCTCTTGAGAAGACAGACCAGCAGCACGACTTGGCTCTTGTGCCTAAATACCTCAGAGCGGTGCCACTTGGAGTGAGGAAATTCGCACTCCCACCTCTGTCTCTAGTTTCGGTGCAGTGTGAGAAGAACCTTGGGTGAGGGCTCAGAAATGCTGGTTCTACGGTCTGGCCTGGTCTTGTGTTAATTGTGTACCTTTGAAAGCAACTTCCCCACTCAACCACAGTGTATCCCCTTCAGTGGGTGATAAGGCTCCGGCCCTTCCTATCTTACTGAGCTTTTGTGTGGGTGCTTAGCTGAGTCCAGCTGCTGGAACTGTGGGTACATGCATGCGTGAGGACTGGGAACCCTAATCATGCATTGAACCTGAAGTTCTCTTCCGGGGTGGTGCAGCATGCCAGGGAGTGGGAGGTGTGGCAGATGCGAGGATAACCTGATGGGCAGCATGGGATCAGACTTGGGGTGCATTCTGCCACCCAAGACAGGGATGGGGGGGCTTACTTGGCTCTTAAGTCATCTGCAGTCAGTTTGGTGTTGTCAATTTGTGAGACCAGCCTGGAATTCTCAGCCTTGGTACACAAGATCTAGAATTAAGAAGTTGCACACACAAATGAGACAAACACCAGGATCTCTTTTAAGAACCAAGGGGCTCGAGTGTGTTTGCACTAACAGGGAAGGCCAGGGAGATGCCGCATGGTCTGGTCTTCCAAGCAAGGCTCAAGAAGCCTGGGAGACTCTGGAGAACCCGAGTTCTTGTTATTTTCTTCAAAGGCAAGCAAAAATTACTTTAATAGAAATGTATGTGTGTCTTCCTGTCATGAGCCCCAGCCCTCAACGGAATTCAAATTCCAAACTGTAAAATCTATTCTAAATTTACCTAACATAAGAATGTCAGATAGACTGGAAACTCCATAAAAGCAGGGACATTTCTAGGTCACCAGCATTGTCCCACATTCTGGAATGATGGCTTGGAACATTGTTGGTAATGCTCAGCAAGTATATGCCGAACAAATAAAACCGAATATTACTCAGCTATAAAAAAATGATAAGCTAGAGGCTTTTCTAGGTAAGTGGACACAACTACAGTCTATACTCACAAGTAAAATAAATCACACCTGCACGTGTGGACACTGCCTTGTCTCCCTAGCGTGAGCACCTGAAAGAGTAAAGAAAATCTGATAGGTATAATAGATACTGTGAAAGGGAAAGAAACTTTTCGAAGGGAAGGAACTGGGATGAGAGAAAGGAGAAAGGAAAGAAGGAAGGGAAAAAGAAAAAAATATATATATATACACAGGACAGCTTGGATAATTGTACTGCTGATTTCTACTGGTCTACTGGAAGGAGCAGTTAATGCTTAAATTGTTTGCTTTCTTTTTAATTTTTTGGTAAACTGCGTGCTTATATGTGTAATGTGAACACCTAATTTGCAGGCAACAGTAAGCAACGTACGACCACTGTGCTGCTGATTTGCGCTGGTCTATTGAAGGGAGTAGTTAATACTCACAATTTTCTCTTTTCTTTTAATTTTTTTTTGACCGATTTTCTACCAATGCTTCTAAATCTGGTAATCTGAGCAACTACTTTGAAGAGTGCAATACGCACTGCGACAACCACTGTTGAATTAAGAAACATTTAAATAAATGAACCACATGAATCTAGATGTGGAGCAGCTGCCTCTCTGGTCTTGCGTTCATTGTGTTCCTTTGAATAAGCAACTTCCCCACTCAACCACAGCGTAAGCCCTTCAATGGGGTGATAAGGCTCCGGCCCTTCCTGTCTTACTGAGCTTTTGTGTGGGTGCTTAGCTGGGTCCATCTGGTGAAACTGCACACACGTGCGTGAGGACTGGGAACCCTAATCATGCACTGAACCCGAAGTTCCCTTCCGGGGTGGGGCAGCCTGCCTCTCTCACTATGAATGGGACACTTAGGTTGGTGTAGAAACTGTTCAGAAACATAAAGATGATAAAATGAACATAGAAGGAGAAAAAGGTGGTGATGGTCATAAATGGATTAAACACTAAACTGACTGGAAATGTATTAAAACAGAACCTAGGGCCAGCCAAATAGCTCAGCAGATTAAAGTGCCTACAAGCAGGTGTAGGGCTCAGGAGTTCGATCCTGGGCGCCTCCGGGGCGCGCTTGAGAGGGCGACTGAGACAGGGCGTGGTGGTGTGCGACTGTAATCCCAGCTCTTGGGAGGCTGTAAACAGGCAGATCACTATGAGTTGGCTCCAGTAGTGAGCCCCTGAACACCCTGTAGACCTTTTCCTAAAACACACACACACACACACACACACACACACACACACACACACACCCAGAACCTATATGCTCAGGGTCCGGTTGTTTGTCCTCTTTCTTAAAGCAGTGGTAGCAACTGGGTATTAACCTGCCCTGATCTTAAGCTAGCTCCTTATAATGCCCGATGCTGCTTATTTCTAGGACAGGGAAGCGCACAAGTCTGAATGGTACCTCAGGATGATAATTCACTCAAGAATTCACCGTATTTTTCCAAAATTTTCAGTATAAAAGAAACTAAAAATATGTAAAGCTTAGCGAATGTCCTCTGCGCAGAGACCCCCTGTTCAGGATCAGTTAAATTGGTGGCTGAGGGCCTTACCTTCTGCTGGAGCTCCTCAATGGTGGCGTAGTAGGACAGGTAGTTGGGACCCGGGGCAGGGCACACTTTGTCACACTCCTCCTGGATTTTGCGTTCCAGCGCGGCGTTCTCTCGCTCTAGCTTTCGCACCTGTTCCAGGTAGCTAGCAAGGCGGCCGTTCAGGAGCTGCATGGTCTCTTTCTCGTGGCTGTTGATTCCTTCCCAGTACCAGACGTGGTCATCCAGGCAGGGCTGGCCACTGGAGCTGCTCAGCAGGTAGATGGGGCTGTGGCAGAGGCTCAGGGCCGACTGGCAGCCGGGGCCCTGGGGAGTTCTCAGCAGGGGGCCGGCCGGCCGGCAGCTGTTGGCTTCAGGGCTGTCGTGCCGGCAGCTGCTGTTAGGAGTGATGGTGCTCACATCTGTAATCCCAGAGCAGCTGTGGGCTGGGGTTGAGGGGGCAGTAGCTGTGGTACAGCCCTGGGTTTCCATTGTGCGTGCCCAGCTCAGTGTATCTCCAAGTCTGTGGTCTCCGGCGCCAGAAGCCCCAGAAGGCTCTTGGCTTCTTCCTCTTTGAAGTGCTTATGTAGCTTCTGCTCTGGGCGGGTCACCACAGAGGGATGTTTTCCTTTCTAATGTTTATAGTGAATCCCACGGGCACATCTCATTGGTCTGCTTTATACTTGCCTGGGAAGAGTCACTTGTCTATAAAAGTGGGCATTTAGGTGTTACTAAGTTATTACCCATCACAACCACCACTTGTCACCACTTTACATCACCTCTTCAAAAGATGCTGTCATCACAGACCTGACAGCATCCATTATTAAGCAGGTGTGAGTGTCCCAAGTCCATTAATCCTTGTTGACCTCTCTGCACTGCATCTATCCTGATTAGGCATCAGTCCCTCCCTCCCTCGTTTCCTTTCTTCTCTAGAAAAGGGAAACTATACTAAATCCAGCAATTCTTGGTGAACTCAGAAATCAGTGTGTTGTTTTGTACTACCCAACTGGTGTTTAGCCCTTTTTTATTGTTCAGGTTTGGTGAGGATGGGTTTCGAGGTGTGACAGCCTTTTTCGTGCTCTGTGTTTGCTTGTGGTGTTGTGTTAGCTTATCATTCTCCACAGTGTTGATCTGTTAAAACATATATTCTGTTTTGAAGAAAATGCTTGGCATTTCAGCATTCTCTGTGAGAAGTTGTTTGCTTATGCCCCTTTGGGGAGATCTGGGATGAAGTATTTTTCCATCTTTTCAGCTTCTGTCGGTATCTGCTCTGGCTCGGGGAAGTTCCCACAAAGCATGCCTGTTAGAGGCTTGGTAACTGCCCTGTTTCTGTTGGGGGAACCTTTAAGAGGTGGGGCTGTGGGGAGGAGGTGAGGGCCTGGAGGCGTCCTCCAAGGGCTCTTGGGGCTGCAGCTCCTTCCCCTCTCTCTGCCCTCCCGCTGCTGTGAGGTGTGTGGTTTCCTGGGCCTCCCAGGCCCTCCGTGATGCTCTGCCTCTCTACGGCCCAAAGCAATGGAACCAACTAACTGTGGAACCACTGAAACCGCGAGCCAAAGACATTTCCTGCTTGGAAATTTCCAAGCAGGAAATGTCTTTTCCCACAGCAGCGAAAGCTGACTAACACAGCACTTTGGCCTGTGGCCTCCTCCCTCTTCAAAGCCAGCAAGGCTCATGGACTCTTCCTCGTCTCACCTCCCTCTGACACAGCCTCTGCCTCCCTCTTACAATTAAGGACTTCAGGGTTTGCACTGGGATTCCCAGATAATCCAAAGTAATCTTCCTGTTTTAAATCAGCTGGTCAGCAGCCTCACTTCCCCTTTGTTGTGTAGCTTGCCATAATCATAGTTTCTGGGATTGAGACATGGACATTTTTGGGGGTAGAGGGTATTATTTGCACACTATATCAATGGAAGGAGGGCTGGCCAAATAGCTCAGCAGGTTAAAGCACCTGCTTAGGCAGATGCAGCGGTCGGGGTTTGATCCCAGGTGTGCAGTGCCCCCACATGCGCTGAGATAGTGATTGAGACTGGGCCTGGTGGCACATGCCTATAATCCCAGCTCTTGGAAGGCTGAACACAGGCGGATCACTACAAGTCCGATCTATGTAGTGAGACCCTGTAGACCCTGTAGACCAAAATACAAAAAATAAATAAGTAAATAAATAAATAAATGTATCAATGGAAGGAAAAATCTTTTAATTTTTAATATCACCAACAAATGCAAAATGTACAGGAATAAATTTAGATATGGATTTAAGATTTATTTGAATAAAGTGTTAAAATATACCAGAGGACAGACAGCTAGAATAAATGGAATGATATCATGTTCTTAGATGAAAATATAGTACTCACCATTACAAAAATGTCACGTGTTTTAATATTAATTCAACTTGGTGTTTAAAAGTGCATTAAGATCTTCCCCAAACAGGAATTTTTTTTTCAATTAGACAAGATAATTCTTAACTTTTTTTTTTAGGAAAACAAAAGTTAATAGCCAAGAAAATTCTGAGAAAAGTAGTCCTTCCAAGATATTAGAACATACTTTAAAATTTAATTAAAATATAGTATTGCTGCATGAACGGCCAGGTCAACAGAATGACCTCACCAGTTTAAAAACCTCCCCAAAACATTGGAATTTATTATTTGGTAAATAAGACACTTCAAGTGAACAGGGAAAATGTAGATTATCAATCCCACACACTCCTGACAATTCTGTATCCCTCTTGGGGGGGGGGGCAAGAAATATGGAAGCTGTTATGGTTTGTGTCTAACTGTCCCCCAAAGTCCCAGACAGTCATAGATGGGGCTTTTTCTCAGGTGGTTGGATCTAGAGTGCGTGATGCTGGGATTGATTCCTGGTGCAGTGTTGGGATCGAGGGCTCTAGGATTAAGGGTGTGAGTGCTGCCCTCCGGGATGAGACAGAAGGCGCAGAAAGGTCCTGCTGGCTCGCTCCTGCTGCCCTGCCAGGAGCGGCTGCCTTCTGTGGAGCCCCCTGCTAGACCCCTGCCTTGGCGTGGTCAGTCATGGGCGGAGCCCTCTGCAAGCTGTGAGCTACAGCCCTTCCCCTTTAACCTCAGGTGTTGGGTATTTCATCTCAGCAAGGAGAGCAGAGTAAGACAGCCCTGCTCCTGCGCACCTTAGGGTAGGACCAGTGACAAGCGGGTCAAAGATCTAGCGGGGAAAATGGAAATAATAAATGCACTAAGAGAAAGCAGCATAATTATGTTATACCTTTCAGTCGGAAGGCCTTTCCAATAATGACTCAAAATTAAGAAATCATAAAAACACTGGTAAATTTCACCAGTTTCAGTGTTCGAAGTTGTGCTTGGATAAAAACCACAGCCTAGAAAAAAGACAAGATGACAAGACACGAGAGAAAAGAAAATGGAACACGGCTTTCATCAATAGGCAGTGAAGAAAGAGAAAGACACTTCCAACTGAGTGGAAATAATTTTCTGTACTATTAAATATAAAATGTATCACACTTTATACCATGTCATATGATATATATATGCATTGCATGAGTCTCTAATTTATTCTACTTTATTGAAGATTTTAATCCCTTTACAGATGAAGCCAAGGAGGGGCCAGGGAAATAGCTTAGTAGAATAAGCACCTGCCTGGCAAGTGCAGGGTCCTAAGTTCAATCCCTGGTACCACCAAAAATTATTCTACTGAGTTCCTGCCCCTTAGCTCAGTTCTTTTTTTTTTTTTTTTTTTCCTTTGGAAGAACCGGGGATTGAACTCAGAGCCATCTCCCCGGCCCCTGCTCAGTTCTTTAAGTGGCTACTTCAACAAAGCAGTCAGGCTCAGGTTGCTGTGGTTCGATCCCCACAACATAAGCCAGCCAGTCATGCCTTGAAGGCACTCGGAGTAAAAAAAACAACAACAACAACAAAAAAACACTTCTACAGATGAAGCCAAGGAATGAATATACAGAGTCTGCCAAAAAAAATGTACACATTGGGCAAAGAAAAATTAAAAAAAAATTTATTTTAAAGGATAAAAACAAAACCAAAAGCAAAAACAAATAGCAGAGAGTAACAACCAACACCACAGAAAAACTTGCATAAATCTCTTAATACTAAGTTTATTGAGACAGCATGAGGTTAACACCAGTTCCCACTGGCCTCTTCCACCACAAGAGGTGCTCACAGGGGTGGGTGGCTGAGAGTTTCCAGACAGTCAGTGCAGGGACCTGCTCGTGGGGCCTCGGCCCAAGTGTCCACGGAGACGGCTGCGTGTGCCCTCCGTCTCTTCTGCAGGGACCGCGGTGCAGAGTTTTCTGCAGCCCGCAACATCCTTTGAGGTGACCCACGGATAAACGTCTGCAGGTGTCAAATCGGGCGGATGTGCAGCTGAGACAAGTTTTTCTTTTCCTGGAGTGCGTTTTTTTTTTTAGCAGGTTTCTGCACGTGGCCCCAAATTGCAGGTATATGGCCAAGAGAAGTGAACGTGATGCCGCGCATCCCCGAAAGGGCGCGTGCGAGTGTACGGGGCAGCCTCGCTCGCTCCCAGCAGGACCGCAGCGGAATAACCTAGCTGCTCCTGCGCAGGACAGCAGGCGGGCGGGGCGTAGCGTGTTTAGAAAGAGGAACGCGGCTCAGCAACAGCAAGGAGCGAGACAGCGGAGCTCGCGCTACCACGGGGCATCCCAGGAACTTACTGAGCCGCCATCAGATCTAAGGGAGCACAGTGCTATGCTCACGCTCACCGTGACCCCGAGGACGGGCAGGGCTCACCCACGGGGCTGGACCGCAGAACGGTGAGGCCTCTCTGGGAGGGTGAGTGGGCCGGACAGAGGCCAGCATACTTTTTAAGGCTGCTGTTCTACATCTTTTTCATTCTTCTGAGACAGGATCTCACTACACAGCTGAGGCTGGCCTTGTCCTCATGGTGATCCTCCTGCCTCAGCCTCCCCAGCGCTGGGATTACAGGCGTGGGCCACCCCATCTGGCTGTACATCTTCATGTTGTATCCTCCATCTTACCGTGGGTGGTGAGGACTTGGGCACGCACATTTTTCAGACTTTGTGGAGCTGCTTATTGTAAATTGATGCATGTTTTTAAAAAGTTTATTTATTTATTGGTAGTACCAGGAATTGAACTCAGGCCCTTGCACTTGCCAGGCAAGCACTTAGTCCACTGAGCTATCTCCCCAGCTCACCCATTTTTAATTATATGGAAATTGTACCCTAAAATACAGTTAACTTAAAAAATTGATCCAGCTGGGTTGCTACATGAACTTTACTCCTTTTTTTATACAATATTCAACTTTCAAATCAAGTATTCATATGTGAAAATGAAGATCATGACTATGCTAAAAGAAAATGTAGAATTATTTTAAAAATTCAGCGGCGACTCTTTGTCATCGTGCCTCAAGACTAAGAAACCATACAAAACTGATTTGACTCCGTAAGACAACAGTGCTTTAAATAGGTCCTAGTCTTGAATTTCTTAAAGAAGCCTGGAAGGAGATATGTAGCATTATTA